TCCTCAAACGATAGTCCAGTACGGCGGCGGACCCAGCAGCATCGGGTGGCAATGACGGGGAGCACAGGTTAGTACACACCGGACAACAACCCTGCGCATCGTGTAGTGGGCTTACCTGTAGGAATGTAGTGGCGCGCTCCTCCACAGGTTGGTTGGTCTGGCTATGCGTCACCGCAGGTGTAGATCGGTGAGGACCTGGGCACGGGTGGACATCCCCAGAGAGTAGCAGGCAAATTGTGATCAAGAGTGAAGTTGTCCATTGTCGCTTTGTTGTGACAACTTTATTTTTCCGGTGTTCTTTGTATAGTGATGGGTAGATAATAGTCATAGCCAAAAGGTGCTTGCCATAGTAAAAGTTTGGCCTGGCGTAGGAATCGTTGCCGTGTTTGTGAGAGACAGCACCGGGTAAAAAGTTGTACCGGTAATGATAACGTTGCTGTGTATTAGGATTCAATCGCCAGGGGTGGAAGCTTGCTTTTGGTGGTATAAAACTTGAAATCAGAGCGTAAACTAGCACTGCAGTGACTGCGCCTGGCCAGCCCGCGGCCATCTTCCTTCAGTCAGTCCGTCAGTCAGCCGAACGTAGGTCTCGACTTCCCTATAAGTCCCTCTCCACAGACTCCCACTGGTGTCTGCTGAGTTTCTCCATTGTGAGATCAATAAAGTGTATATTCTTCTTCTTTTGTTGGGAAATGTCTCCTCTGCATTTGACCATGATGCCACTAACGCTTCGGAACAGAGCCTTTCTGAGTGGAGTTTGCATGTTCTCCCCGTGTCTGTGTAGGTTTCCTCCGGGTGCTCCGGTTTCCCCTACCACTAAAAACATGTACAGTAGGTCTGAATGTAAATGAGAGAGTGAATGGATGGTGTTGGAGCTGATGGTCCAGTGTGTTCTGGACTCGCTTCTGTCATCACCGTGTGTGGAAGGATTAGAACAATATCTGACTCTGAACATTGTAAAGTGCTTTGGGTCTGTACCTTGGTCTGTAAAATGCGCTATATAAATAAACATTACTTACTTACGCTTCTATCCTGCTCTCATTTGTGTGTATCCAACACAATTCAGCAGTAAACCTAACTCCTTCTGGAAAGACAAGTCAGGAAGTAGCATCCAAGCTATTTTTTGTCTCCAACAGAATAAACCTGTAAAAGAAAAAGAAAAAACATTCTCACAACTGTGTAAAAATAAGCAATAAAGTGTAAAAACGTAGGAATAAAAACATAAAGGCAGACAAGGATCAAAGCTGCATCCAGAACTCAGAGTGACCATGAACTACACATTTATCCCACATTCCCAACATCACGCTAACACAGGACTCTGCAGAGAAACTTACAGACGGTGAGGCCAAAACGACAACAGCCGCAGACGGCACTGATGAATGTGTCGAGATGAGCTGGACTCAAACAACTAAAATGGTGGACTTAATGTCTGGGTTCCTTAACTGGCCAACAAAATAAGATCCCCTCCTTGTCTCCATATAAATCCATAATAAAATCACTAAAGCCAACGTAAAATACAATAATTGGACATTTAAAAGGGCACAACCCCATCCTTCAGGAGCAGTGGTCGCCGTAGTAACAGTGCATGCTTATCTATGTAGCAAATTTTTAACAGACCAATGTCACCCAAAGCGCTTTGCAATGTTCAGAATTCAGATAATGTTTCAATCGCTCCACACACGGTGATGACGGAAGCAAGACAGACACAACTGCACCATCAAAGCCCCGACCAACACACACTCACTCATACTGTGGATAGAAAGCCTTGTGCGGGGAACCTACGCAGACACGGGGAGAACATGCAAACTCCACTCAGAAAGGCCCTGTTCTGAGCGGGATTCAAAACCAGAACCTTCTTGCGAGAATGCCAACCACTCAGTTGCCAGTGTCGCCCAGATATTGGTACTCGGCTTGGTCAGAACCGTAGCTGGAGGACCAATCGTATGTACAGTAGTTTTAGATGGAGAATAGAGTAGGACCAAGTAGGGCCGGTGGAAACAGGGCACTTGATTGGATGAAGTGGTAAGTGCACAGTGTAATTTGTACAAACTAACTCAATTCAAAGCCATTATTGTCTAAACTGTTGGCAACAAACATGTGTAAAGCCCTGGGGAAGGCGAGTGTTTTTGCAGAGCACAGTTCATGCACAAGGAAACTCTAAGTGCCTAAAACTACAACATTAGAAACACAAGGAAATATTCATAAAGCAAGCTCCACTCAACTGTCCTGACTCTGGGACCAGCAGGAGGCCAGTCCCTGTGCTCCTCAGAGTTCAAGCAGGAGGCCAGTCCCTGTGCTCCTCAGAGTCCCAGCAGGAGGCCAGTCCCTGTGCTCCTCAGAGTCCCAGCAGGAGGCCAGTCCCTGTGCTCCTCAGAGTCCCAGCAGGAGGCCAGTCCCTGTGCTCCTCAGAGTCCCTGCAGGAGGCCAGTCCCTGTGCTCCTCAGAGTCCCAGCAGGAGGCCAGTCCCTGTGCTCCTCGGAGTCCCAGCAGGAGGCCAGTCCCTGTGCTCCTCAGAGACCCAGCATGAGGCCAGTCCCTGTGCTCTTCAGAGACCCAGCAGGAGGCCAGTCCCTGTGCTTTTTCTGTCCCATGAGGCGACAGTGGCTCAGTTGGTAGAGCACTGGTCTTTGAGCCTGACGGTTGTGGGTTCGAGACCACCACAAGACCTTCTCTAGCGAGTCCCACTGATATCTGCCGAGTTTCTCCATTATGAGATTAATAAAGTATATCAGTCCCTGTGCTCCTCAGAGTCCCAGCAGGAGGCCAGTCCCTGTGCTCCTCAGAGTTAAAGCAGGAGGCCAGTCCCTGTGCTCCTCAGAGTAAAAGCAGGAGGCCAGTCCCTGTGCTCCTCAGAGTCCCAGCAGGAGGCCAGTCCCTGTGCTCCTCATATGGCACTAACATAACCATATTTCTTCCAAACCTATTACTAACCGCATAAACATTTGGCTTTACATCAGAAACGTCTGAAACTTGTAATTCAAAGTCAAACGTCCACAGCTGCTTGAAAGTCTCCCATCCTCTGCCTCTGCCACAGTTTTAAACGCTAATCGCTTCTGTTCCCTTGTTACTCTTTGTTTGGCTGCTCTTTTTTACCAGACTTCTGCACAAGTCCCAAACTTCTAATGATATGATTTTTCTTTTCTTTTTTAAACAATTTCTCCAGACTGAATCATTATGAGTAACTGCTGGTGGCTCGGCAGCAGCAGTGGAAAGATGCAGCTGTAAATTGCCTTGGAGAATTAGCTCTTTATTTAAACACAGCTATAGGAGAGTGAGTCATGTGGCAGAGGCCTGTGTCCTCTCGGCTGCATCCATCACGGACACCCTATCCTGAGACCGAGCCGCTGCATCACACGACTCCCACCATGGCTACAATATTATTCCCTGCCGTACCGTGTATGCTTACTGCAAGATCCAGCTAAGCCACTAATACTGCTCTCTAACGTGCCCTGTGCCAATCATCAATATATGTTATTCCAAACACCTTGCTTGTAGATCGTCCCGGAACCTCACGCCCACCGCCACCTGGGTGCTTGAATTTTGAAGACCAAAAAAGATTATGATAGGATCCTTTCAATTACAAATTAGTGTTTAGATCGTACTAACGCCCGGCTCCAGGCTATTGTATGGCTGTGCTTAAAAGCAGGGCTCAGTTTGTCAATATTAACACATAATGCGAGCCCGATGCAGTCCACCTTTGTGTGCGCAAGCCCATTAGACTTTGATTATTTTTTACATTAATTAGGACGGATCGCGGAACTATTGAACTATAGGCTGGCTGAGAAAAAGAACCACCTAATGCATGGGTATCATACAGAGCTTTTTCAGTCACCGGAGCCACCTGCCAGATTCTTTGACTCCATTATCATCATTTTTTTCCCAAAACATATCTGTGTCAGGGAGGTGTACAGACAACAGAGCACCGCCCCTCACTGAATCCTCCCTGCAGGTAGCTGAGTTCCCATGAGATGAGATCTTTCATTGGGGGCTTCAGGCACGTGGGGGGTTAAGATTTTCTGCTCAAGGACACAACCCCAGCAGACCTCCCGAGGGCGCGGAGGCTGAAGGTCTCGAGGTGGGGCTCCGAACCACAACCTAGGCTGCTCCCACGCATCTGTCACCACTCCAGTTTTGGACAGCTCACCACAAAAACTATTAGGTCCAGAATCTTTCCCAAGTACACCAGTGTTGAACACCCATATAATTACATATTTCCCCTCTCTACATCCCTAGTGTTTGCTATACATAAACCTCCCCTGTGCCCGGAGGAGGCTGAGTGTGATCGCCTCCGCTATCAGCGAAGCGGACAGGGTGACGCATCTCGCCGGTACCAGGGACACTTTTGAGATGGCGTTAGCCTTGTTTCCTGTGTTGCGTAGGTTTCCACCGGGTACTCCGGTTTCCCTACCACTCAAACTATGTCCCATAGATCTGGGAATGTGCCTCATGATTCTGGCGACCCGCTCCATCTCTGATATATCCCCTCCCGCTATAAAACTTGGCACCCCAATTAAAAACGGTCTGAATGTCACTGCGGAGTGCATGGCAGGAGGTGGAGCTGATGGATTCAGAGATTTCTGGACCTCGCTACATGTCCACACGTGATGAGGAAGGATGTGAGCCCCAAAATGACACTACACCATGGAAAGAGCTTTGGGTCAGTCCTTGGTCAGTAACAACTGTGTATATAAATTACCCATCTTGCTTATTACTTCCTTGAGACAGGGTCGAATGCTGTATGCCTCTAGCAGCCAGCCCAGTCCCCTTCTAACGCCCCAATCTCCGTCCCGTGGGCGTTAACCAAAAAAAACTTAGTACCACACATTACAACCAAACCACCCTTTCCCAGCATCAACACAACCCACCTTGTCAATTTATTCTTATCCAGACTCCTTAACTTATCCATTCCATGAAAGGGGCAATATCCTTCAAAAAGCACCAATACAAACCACTGGACCCCATGGAACCGTGCACGCGGTGTTCCCTTGGTATACACCGGATTAGGAAACGATGTACTTGGTTAGACCGGTACCCCTGGACGACGTGCGCAGAGGAGCGCTTTGACCCGGAGCACCGACACCGAGTGCACACCGAGCAGCTGCGCAGCTGGTGCCGTACGTGTGGTATATGGAGCGGACGCGGGCGATGTAGGTGCCGTGTAGAGAGAGTACGTAGCCAAATACCATAAATGCCCCATGGTCGTAGGCTATTTGCACCGGCGCACGGCAGCCCGGGGCGTGTGAGCGGGGTGGCACACCACCTCGGGCATAGTGACCATGGGTGAGAGCACTGTCACACTCACACATCCTGGTGAAAAATACAGTCGCCACCCGCTGCCTGGGGCACGCAGCCGAAGCGCGGCCAAACACCCACCACACCCGACTATTAACAGAGGTGGCAGTGTATTGCTACAATGACAACCCCGGAGGTTGGCACAGAAAGTGCCGAAAGGTTTATTTAATGACAGAGAATAAAAATAGTTCCCTTAGGCTTTCCCGTGGCTATGCTAGCAACAGTTAGGGCTGGCAACTTCCCAAACTTGAACTCTCTGGAACTGCTATGAAAATAATGATCAAATGAATCTGACATCAGCGGTGAGTGACCAAACATAAAATTAACCTAAATCCATTAATTCGATCCTCTGCTAATTGTTCCTAAAATGTGCGGTATCTTTAATGTCCGTATCTACTCGGGTTTTTCGGGAGCGCCTTTTCTTGTAATTTTACATCAGTGTTTTTGTTATAGAAAACTTAAACGGAAATTTCTGAATAACTTCCGTGCACTTGTATTAAGAATGGATATTGTATATTCACTCTCCGATTAACATTTCATTGCGTTGAGTGATTGGCATTTGGCGTTTATTATTGAGCGGCCGGAAAAACTACTTCAGGTTTTTCACGATCGATTTTGACGCTGAGAATTTGTATTTTTTTTCATGATGACAAGACCAGAAAATTTCTGAAAATCTCGTTGCTCGTGTGATTGTTTGGGGGGAAGATTGTATATGTATTAAGTATTCTACGGATTAACATTTAAGTGTGTTGTTTGAGTGGATAGCTCCGGATTGGCCTGAATACTTGCGGAGTTTGCACACGCTAATCTAACACACTTAAATGTTACTCGGAGAATATTATTCATTTTCATTCTTCACACACGTGCACGGAGATTTTCAGAATTTTATCGGTCTTGGTCTTCATGACCAAAATACTATTTCTTCTGCGTCTAAAAGCGATCGTGAAAAAACCCGGGAAGTAGTTCCGTCCGCGCAATAAACGCAAAATGCCAATCACTTCATCGCAATGATTTGTTAATCGGAGTGTGATTTATTACAAACTCCAGTCTTAATACAAGTGCACGGAGTTTTCAGAATTTTCCGTTGACGTTTTCATAACAAACTACATGTTGTAATACAAGAAAAGGCGATCCCGGAAGGAAAAAAATCCCGGAGAGTATGATACGGCACCAGTTTAAGATTACCGGCACATTTTTAGGAACATTTGAGAGGATCGAAGTATGGATTAAGGTTTAAGTTTATGTTTTGGGTACTCAGCCGCTGATGTTCAGAATTTTTGTTTTCAGTTTTTGACGTTCCTGAGAGTTTCTAGTTTGGATAGTTGCCAGCCTCTAAATGTTGCTAGCATTGCACGGGAAAGCCTTTGGGAACTATTTTATTCTCTGTCATTAAATAAACTTTCGCTTTCTAAAGTGGAAGGCTGTAGTTTATGTTGGGTGTTCTGTTGGTATTAAGCCGTATAATATGCGGGATAACGTTATATTACGCAGGTCTTTATCGGGAAAATAAGTACGAAAGGGCAAAGCGGGACACGACGCGCATGATTGTACATCTTTGATTATTGATGTACTATCATTACCCCAAACTGACTGAGAGGAGGAAGTGACTTCACGTCCTGGTTCATACTAATGTATTTGGAAAAGCTGACGCCGAATTAATGTTCATATTATTTCCTTTTGGTACTTTTCTGTGTTCGTTTTATTCCTGAAAGCTTAGAGCAAAAATCCCACTGACACAAAGCCACTGATAATGAAAGTATACCAAGAGAGATTTTTTGTTTAAATTATGTTTAAGAATATGGCTCAAAGCAAATATGCAACATATTTTGGTAAATGATTAGAGTGTTTAAACTATAGTGAATCATTGACTTAGTACATTGTTTGTGCATTTTTTATGACCCATAGAAGTAATGCTCTGGTTAGTTTTGTGATCATTTAGAGAATTTTGTGAAGGAGTTTATGTTGCGTAATTTCATATATTGCAAAAGAGAGTTTTCCCGAATCTGCGTTTGTCTGCAGTAATCAAGTCTATACTATGCACTTTAGCTAATTATTGCTTTATTATTTCATTTATTTTCCTGTTACCTTTATATGACAGTTTCCATTTTGGCCTACCTATGTTTGTGGTTTTGCCAGACACATAATGCTTTGGTTGGTTTTTGTTTTAATGTGTTATTTAGCTATAGAATTATTATTAATAATCTTTTCCTTTGGCTGTTTCTGTTTCCTCGCATTACAATGTACTGGACTGTGATCTTCCTGCCATTAACCTTGCAAACAAGCTGATAAAGATCTGTAGATTGTGTCCCCAACCATAAAGAAAACCTTCCATTCTTCACCATTGTTAATGTATGTTTGTGCTTGTTTTGCTAAGATGTGTTTTTAATTCATGGGGCACTTATGGAGGCCTTTGATTGGTTTTCTTTTTATTGGTTTTATATGCCCTGTTATAGCTTTGTAATGCAATTTAAAGAGGAATATATTTCTGTATTCATGTCTCATGGCTTATAATGTTGTTACGGAAAGATTATAGGCAGCCTTGTGTTTTTTCTCACCAAAAACTGCTTAACTAACTGTTAGTAATCTGTCTAAGGAGTCAGGCACTGCAGTATTAACCAGTATTGGTTCTGTGATGAACGTGGCGCGCTTTGGCAGCCGCTGCTCACAGAAACTTACGCCGCTGGTCGGGACGCTGACTGTGTGTATTGGTCACATGCGTGGCATCCGATCGGCTCAGCCCGAGTCAGCCAAGAACAGCTCACCACCGTCAGCTTCGGTCTCTCTATCGTCATTGCGCTCCCTCAACACCAAGGGCCATCTGGTTCCGGGATTGTCCTAGTCGACCGGTATGCTGGACTTCTTGTGTGTTGACAGAAACCTGCAGCTGGGCAAATGACTATTGCCGGATTGAAACGATCTCCACCTCCACGGGGTTTGTTTACATCTGCCAAGCCCGCATGCGGTGGCCGCCGGGGCGGAGGTCTCGCGATGCTCACGCGGAGAATTGGAAAGTTCTCTAATGTGCCTGCTGCCCCTGTCTTCTCCTCCCATTCGGTACTCTTGCCTCAACTGCTGCCTGGACCTTATCCTACGGTTGTTCTTGCCACCATCTACCGGGCCCGCCAAAAATTTTAAGGACTTTTTAGATGTCTTTTCTCTCCTTATAACACACTTCTCATCATAACTCTAATAACGCTCAGTCTTAATTGGGGACTTCACATTCACATGGGACAATCAATTGCAACCCTCTACACCTAAAGACTTCTCCTTCCTGTTTAGTAGTAGTTTTGTTTACACAAAACATTCATTTACCATCACCAACACTTAAGGTAACATTGTGGACTTTACTGCTGCTATGCGTCTCACTCCCACTGAATGTAAACCCTCACAACATCACTTACACAGACCTTAGCTAATCACATTCATATATTCAACCTCACCATCTCCAAGACCCTCCTTCAGTACGAACATTTCTTTCCGTAAAATTCTGGACTTAAACACTGCCACCTTCGCATCAGAATATCAAGAACATCCCCACTAATGATTCCCAATGACTTCCCCCGATGACCTAGGTCTACCTATACAACACTTCTCTCCATAACCTTCTGAACATCATGCTCCTCCTCAAAAAACCCGACCCGTCTCTTTCACGCTCTCAGCACCATGGGTTCACCACATGACCCTCGTCAGACTCAAATCCCATAGGACGTACAACTTGCATCGGCTTATTAATAAAACTGGACTCACATTACAAAAAAAGTACAATAACCACATCGTTGCTATACAAGGACCATATCATCTGCTGCCAAATTCCTCCTTCTACTCGGTTTAATCCACTCCATCATCAAAACTCCAAAACTCTCTTCTCTCTTCTACACCCCAATATAACCAAAACCCCTGACTCACTCCTCACATATGCAATCCACTGACTTCTGTAAACTCACTCATGTCCTTCTTTACCTCCAAGATCTCTGACATTCAACCAACACTGACCCCACATGGAGCTGCAGTCTATGGAGTGGAACCCCCCCAGCCCCTACCATCCCCTCATAGCCACATTCCCAGCTTCTTCTTGCCCGCCGTCCAAGCCATCTCCGACATTATATTAAATCCAAACCTTCTACCTTCAGCTCGGTCCCTCTCCCTACGTTCTGGTCAATATCCTGCCTCCCCTCAGCTGCTCCCCCTCATTCCACTAATATCATTCACCTCATCTCTCACTTCTGGTTACTGTCCTCTTCATCAAAACCGCCTCAGGTCTCACCCTTTTCTCAAATAACCTGGCCTGGTCCAACCAACTTCAACACCTCCGTCCCATCTCAAACCTTCCTTCATCTTCCAAAAAACTTGAAATCTGTCGCTGCTCAACTCCACAAACTCCTCACCACCAAATACATCTACGAACAATTTCAGTACTGGTTTTCCGTCCCTCCACAGCACCGAAAACAGCTTCTTCTAAAAATCACTAACGATCTCTCATAGCCTCTGACTTCCGGTTTACGGCTCTCTCCTCATCCTTCTGGACCTCACTGGCAGCTTTTGACACCATTTCTCACTCCACCCTCCTGAAACAGACTCTCCTCCATACGGCATCACCCCACACCCCCTCGCCTGGTTCAACATTCTAATCTTTCTGGGTCGTCACAGTTAAGTCATCTCCAAATCCCCACAAATCCCGCCTTTTTCCTGTTCTCTGCTGGTGTCCCCCTGGGTCTGTCACTGGGGCCCCTCCTCTTCATCATCTATATTCTCCCACTCGGTCAAATCCTCAGGCCGTAACAAACATTCACTTCCAGGCTACCGCGGATGACACCCAGCTCTACCTCTCACGCTAAACACATTCTTCCTCTTATCCTCCATCCTACCCTCACCCTATGTCTACAGAAATTCATTCTGTGTTTATCTTCAACTTTCTCAAACTCAATAGCTAAATCAACTATTGAAGTTACCTTCTCATAGGCCCCCTCCACTCTCTCCAAATCTACAGCTTCTCATCTCCATCCATAACAAATCT